AATGTGTTGAAATTAGAGATTAAATAGGGCCCAATTAAATATGATTTTTAAATGGGTTACATCTTAAATGAGTTGAGATTGACCCAATTCAAATTATCTTGAGCTCAACTCATAAATTTTTGAATGAGTTAGACGAGTTATGTATATTTAGGCTCATTTTGACATTCATAACCGTACATTATATGGAAGTATGAAAAAGAATTTATTGTAATACTTTTTATTGAAAAATCATATTATACATGTCCGTAAGTAGGAGTATGAATTTTTCTCGATGAAAACCATGACAAAAAATTAAAAATATGTTTTTATTTTTTCGAAAACACTTTTCGTAGAATATCAATATGAAAAAAAAACAATTTCAAAAATATAAGAACACTCACTTGGGTTTTAGTTTCGGAGAAAAGATATCTGAAAAAAAACATTTTATTTTTCTATTCAAAATCACATTATTTCCCTTGATAACTTCGATGAAAATGTTTTAACTTCTATATTATAGGCAAAATTAGAGTTTTTGGCTAAAATCATCTCTCAACTATGACTCAAATCTAATGTACATCCTTATATTATCTAAGTTAGTAAAAACCATCCTTATACTATCTAAAAAATAACAAAAGTCATCCTTCAGACTATTTTTGTTAAGAAACTGATTGAACCAATAAAAAATACATTTTTTTAATTTGTTCACCATGTCTTAGCCACGACAAGAAGATCAAAGTTACTTAAAAAAAATAAGGATATGCATAGGAAATGAATCTTTCATTCTCATAATTTAAATTTGTGTATTGTTAGTTTATGTGTTTCTTGCATTATCAAGTAAATTGACTTGCAACAATACACAAGTCTTGAAATATTTATATAGTAGGTTCCGATGGTAGAAAGATTATGTAAAAATTCATTTTACAATGCAATTCACATTTTATACAATGTATAGAAATATTCGAAATTTTGTGAAGTTACATAGGCGTTTAGTTATGAAAAAAATTGAATTACTTTATTTGAAATTTTTGAAGTTGGAATTGTATTTGGCCATACATTTTACAAAGAATATTTAAAATTTGAATATATTTTATCTGAATATGATTTAAACACTCAATTTCTAAAAATTAAAAAAATCACTCAACTTGACTAGCTTGACCATGTGTACATATATTCATTCGACTTAACACATTTTTTTGTTGGTGGCGTGAGTTTCTTAAAAAAAATAGATAAAATGATGAATCTTGCAACTTTTTGGATAATATAAGGATGTTTTTTGTTCACTTAAATAACACAAGGATGTATTTTAGGTTTAAGTCATACTTTAGGGATGATTTTTGTCAAAAACTCGGCAAAACTAATTTATGTCCATAACTTATGTTCGATAAACGAAACCACTATGTTAATATTTAAAGTAACCCGAAAACAAGCTAAAAGCCCAATTCAACACGGGTCAAGTATATTATAAAAAGGATGGCTGACATTTCTCTTATCTTTTATCTTTGGTGATTTTGCCATTGTGGCTCCATAATCCCCTTGGTGAGTTCATCTCTCTCCCCTTCTTCTGTAAATTCAATGTTTTTTTCTTGTACTATATCTAATTTGGTATTCGAAAATGTAGTTAATTTTAGCTGACTTGCAAATCTTGGTTTACTATTCTCTCCGTTTCAATTTGTTAGTTTGGTTTTGGCTTTGGCAAATAATGTAAGAAAGTAAAGAAATTTTGTGAATCTTGTGGGGTTAAACTAATGATATGTAGAATGTACCAAAATGTTCTTTAATCTTGTATGGTGAACAAACATGAAATGTGGAAAGGTAGAATTGAAGAGTTGCTATTGGAAATTGAAATGGAGGGAGTAGTATTTATGTTTCACTAGGATTTGAACTTGAGATGTTATGGTTCTCAATCTACTTTATTGACCGCTAGTAAGATTTTAGGGGACTGCAATGTTGATGAACACACTAGAGTTTATGTTGTTGTTGATACTGGTTTCCTTTGATTTCTCTTTGTTTGTGGGTTAAAGACTTGTCCTTTATGATTAAATATGGTCCTTTTATGACCAATTGCTTGCGTAAGGACTTATTTGCGGAATATTTTTTGGTGTAGAGTTTGCGTAATGCGTTTGTGGTGGAGGGTTTTTGATGTTTGGTGTAATTTTGAAAAAAGCAATGAGTGGAAGTAATGTGTATTGATATCCAAGAGATATAGAATGGAGTAAAGATAGTTGTAATGAGGACTTGAGTACTTTTCTGGTTAGGTGTGTGTGTTTTAGTACATCAATTCATTCGGTATATAGGATTGGGAAATGTATTTTTGAAACATTTTATTTGTTTTCCTCCTTGTTTTATCGTCAAGTTAAATGCATTATTAAAGATTGATAATAAGCTCAGCAAATTGGATTATATTTTGATAAAATTTTGAGTACTAAGAAATGACAATATTATCTTAACACTGGTTGGAGCGAGCGATAAGGAGAAAGAGTTGAAATAGTAGTAATAGGAAATGACTTATCTCATAAGTGAGAGGAGTTATTTCCCCCTTTTGATGGAAACCATTTTTTCTTAGGAAATATTTCTAGGAACCATTTTTTATTACTCTTCTACTGTTCTAGTCATACCAAGCAGTGTTAAAGTCAGAGTCAGACCTTCAGTGGACTTAATATAAAAATATATTTTATCCATTTTGTGTTCGTGATGATCAGAGGAAATTTTAGATTGGCTATAAGATTCTTGGTAGTTGTTATGGTAATAGTTTTGTCCTCTTAGTAGTTCTATGCTCATATTTTTCCCATTGTTAAATATCACTCCCTTTCCTTTAGGCCTCTCATCTCTGAGAGTAAGTGCCGCGAGAGGCTACTGAATTTCTTTGTTTTCTTTGCAGCGTAAAAATGGCAGTGAGTTTGAGTCTTGTTTCCTCATTCAAAGGACTCTCCTTATCTTCCAATTCTCTCCTCGGGGTTTCTCTTCCCATTGCCCCCAAGTTCTCCATTTCCTTCCCGTTGAAATCTCCATTGACAATTGAGTCTGCACACAAGAAAGGAGCAGGTAGCACTAAGAACGGTCGAGATTCTCCTGGACAGAGGCTTGGTGTCAAGATTTATGGTGACCAAGTCGCCAAGCCCGGTTCTATAATTGTTCGCCAGCGCGGTACAAAGGTTTCAATTTTACTTCTTCTGGGTCTCCTCTCTCTTTTTTATTTTTGCCTACATTTACTGTGGAAGTTCTGATAGTTCTTTTGATTGATTAATGGTGCTTGTAATGAATTCAGACCAACCCGCCCAAGTAGAGTATAAATTCCAGTTGTTTTGCTCAATACCTCACAAACATACTAGGTCCTGACATCGTGTCAATATCTCTGCTCTATTCTTCTAGCTTTCTGCATTTGGTTTGTATATTATTCGTTGGAAATATGTGGATCGTCTAAAGAGCGTTAGATTGAGTACAAAACAAGGTATTGGAAGGTTTAAGGGGATACTTATCTTGTTATCATTTGAAGTAATAGATTGCTGTAAGGTTTAAGGTTCTGAGCTCTCGTATCTGATCTATCGTGAAGACATAGTTAGAAGTCCTCTTAAAGAAATGACAAGCACAGTTGTAATCTGCTCTAACTTACAGTCATTTATCTAAATTTAGTATGCAAATCTTTTGGTACTTTAAGGCTGCACACTTGTATATAAATCCGACTTGAGTTGTTCTTCGTTTCTGACAATATGATGATGCTTATTCTGTTTCCTTGATGATTACTAATCGTCCTCTTGGTGATATTTCCAGTTCCACCCAGGAAAGAATGTTGGACTTGGCAAAGATCACACAATATTTTCTTTGATTGATGGACTAGTCAAATTTGAAAAGTTTGGGCCTGACAGAAAAAAGGTTGAGTTCTTTAGCTTACTGCTTGTAGATATGTGGTACACCAGTGTTATTAACGTATACTGAATGTGCAGATAAGTGTTTATCCACGCGAGGTGCAACCTGAAAACCCCAACAGCTATAGAAACCGAAAGAGAGAGTCCTTCAGATTACAACGTGAACGTAGAAAGGCACGAAGAGAAGGTGTCATCCCTGAGCCTCAGTTGATAGTTGCTTCTGCTGCTGAATCCTCCGAGGATAATCCTACAACCACTTGCTGATAATGGTCTTTCGACTTTTTAAACATTCTGTTGTCATTTTGGTTATTGCTAGTAGTTACTTGGGAACACATATGCAGGCACATTTTCTAAACTGTGTTTCTGCCATTGTTGTCTTTTGTTTGTAAATCACTAAATTGTGTTACTGAAAGCATTAGTCTTTGTCACAGTTTGTATGAGTACAGAATGAAATGTATGATTCAGAAGATGCACCTTGGTACAATAGCACAGCCAAAAGAGTTTAAAAGGTCGAGTTTCATTCAGTTTAAGTGTTCAATTCAGAAAAATTATATGTAAAATGGTCCAATTGACAATTCGAGTCAAATATAAAGACCTTTTTCCATCATGTCCAAATTCATGATCAAATTTAAACTGTTTAACTCTCTAAATTCGAATCCTGCCATATAAATTGGGACAATGAGAGTATATTTAAAAGTAAAATGAGTATTATAAGGGTTCATTTGGTATGAGAAGGAATATTAATTTTGGGATAAATGACAAGATTGTATTATACTACATTATTATACCGTAACGATAGGATAAGTTATCTTAGTATACCATGAGAAAACTAATCCTATGAAATAGGATAAATTTATTTATCTTATCCCTCGTAACCATAATTAAACTTTTAGTGGTCTTTTGGTTGGGATCAAGTCATTCTGCAATTAGTTATTCTACTATGTATATGAGATAACTTATCTCATCACTATGACGAAAATGGTGGGATAAATAATCCAGAAACTACCTAATATCTCATACCGAACTTGGGATAAAATAATCCTACATTTTATCATGAATTTATTATACATTATACCTCACACCAAAATTAGTCCGATCCCGAAACAAATATACAAAATGTAAATAGTAAAGGAAAAAACAATATTTGAGATCCGACCCGAAAATGCTGCAAAACAAAATTGTGGCAGCCATACCTCTGTTCCTTTTCTAGAGGATTTTGCGATTCTGGTTGTTCTTCATCAGGTGAGTTCATCTATCTCTTCTCATATTTTAAATTTAGTTCTAATATGTGTTACTCGAGTCGAGTGTAAACCGCACTAGGCAAGTCCTGAACGAGCATGAGCTAAAAGGCCAATAAGGGGTTTCGAACATGAGACCTCTGTCTAAGCCACCCCCGAAGGGTTTGAACCTAAAACCTTATGGTTCTCAATTCTATTGACTAGCCAAATTTTAGCTGACTGCAATTTTGATGAACACACTAGAGTTTATATTGTCATTGATAACGATTTTTTCTGATTTATCTTTGTTTGTGGTTTAAAGACTTGTCCTTTTTGATTAAATCGTGCTCCGTTTATCACCAATTGTTTGTGTAAGGCCTTGTCTGTGGAATCTATTTTGAGGTAGAGTTTGTGAATGAGACTATGGAGGAGGGTCGATGATGTTAGGCGTAATCTTGAAAAGAAGAGTGAATGTGATGTGTATTGCTAGGAGCAAGAGATAATTGTAATTAGGACTAAAGGTGCTTTTTCCATTAGGTGTGTTAGGCATGAAGTGAAATGCTTTTCGGAAAAATAAGTTGTGGGTATTATATGTGAGCATTGGTTGGAGATAGCCGAGGAAGTGGTAAAGTCGGCGTACACTTTACCCTCACCAGACCCCACTTAGCGGGATTTCATGGGGTATGTCGTTGTTGCTGTTGGTTGGAGCTAGCGATATGGAGTAAGAGTTGAAATAGCAGTAAAAGGACATGACTTATGAGATAATTGAGGAGTCATTTTCCTCTTTTGATGGAAAATATTTTCAGTAACCAAACACCAAAACATAACTTCTTATATTTGAAGTTAACAATTTTAAAATGTAGTTGTGGAGAATGATTTTAGTCATACCGAACAGTGCCAAAATCACAATCAGACTTTTCTAGACTTACTATAAAAAATGTATTTTTTTCTGAATTGTGTTGGTGATGATCGGAGTAAATTTTGGATTGGTTATAAGATTCTTGTTGGTTGTTATGTCGATGGTTAGTTCTATGGTCATTACTTTCCATTTTTATACTTGGTACACTTTGGCACATCCTAATACGGTGAAATAGAAACGAGCCTTAGTCTTGAATTCCTTTAAGATCTCTTACATTCAGCTTGTTACCCTTCTTTAAACTTCCAAGATAATTTCAGACTGTTTTTGATATTGTGATATTGGATTCTACAACAGTCCTAATTTGTATGCTTGGGTTGTGCCCAAGTTTTTTTACCTTTTTTTAGTTACATAAGCTTTTTCATTCCATGGGCAAATTCTAAGAGGGTAACCTAAAACCATCTGTATATGGAATGTACTAATAAAATAAAAGAAGGTACTGGACTGGAAATTATATAGCAATAGACGTTTAGATTAGGAAAATGATGCAATTGTAGAATTTGTCAGTGCAAGATGCTTTTTGTGGCTTACATAGTCCGAACCTATACTGATGATAGCTCTAATCAGCAGGTTGATTGAACTGCTCTTGAGTCATAATGTCATTTGTACCTATTTATGTTTGATGCAGGTTTTAGTTTGTATTTAGATTGAGAGGGACAGAATGCAGTCACTGGTAGCCATCTCAGCCATTGCCAATCATCTTACGTGCCTGATATGATATTTTTTGCAAGTTCTTTCATATATTATTTAATGAAGATGGAAAACTCCATCTCCTGGTTCTTGCTTATCATGTTGTTACCCCTTTTCGATCTCTTGGCATTTTATTTGTAGAATCATTTGCCATCTGTCCAAGCCTCGGTGGACAGAGTTACCTTATACTTGTTGTTGATGGGAGGTAGCAGGTATCCCATGGAAGCAAGTTGACCCGGACACCACGGTTATCAAAAAATTAATAATCTGTAGAATCATTTGTAGATCCCTCAACTTGCAACCGGGACTAGGTACTGCATTTATCTTCTAACTTCTGCTGAAAGAGAATCCCACTAAAACTTACTGATAAAAAGATACATATAAATAAGTCCTTCTAAAGCTTATTGCTAACTACAGCTGCAAGCATACTTGAGAATTCTGCAAATTAAGCAGATTCATTTCAATTGAAGAGCTTTTCTTTTGGGTGGCAGGTGGGAGAAGCAGAGGTGGATCCAAGATTTTAAGTGTATGGGTTCTTGATTTTAGTACACTACAACGACTGGTTTTGGGATAGATATCTAATTTACACATCAAGTGAATTTCATTTCTTAACACCATTACATAGTTTGGGCCAAACCTCTACTGGATTCTGCGAACCCATAGCTTGTGGTGTAGATCCGCTGCCGCCCCAGGGGGAGAAAACTGTTAAATGAAAATTTGTTGGTAAATTTACGCCAAATCAAGAATAAAAATGGAAAACTCTGAACAATTTCTCTGAATTATGAATCTAGTGCCTGTTGACTGCAAAGAGACTCAGAATTTAGGGAATGGTACTTACCAGAACCATAAGACCAGCAAGCTATACAAGATGATATTTGGAAGCCTATCTTGCTCTTAATGTTATATAATAGGTCTGTTAGACCAGGTTCTGTATATGCTTGATCAAGTTGTTCTCAAAAGTCATTACAACACAGCCAGTAGAAAAATGCTGATTGCTGAAAGTGAAATAGAGCGACTGTTGCTGCATGGGCAATGAATCATATTGGTGCCCATGAAACTTGGACTCTCCAAAAATGCTGTCGCACTTGTGTTGAATCCTCCAAAAAAGCTACTTTTGGAGGATCCGACTCGCACTTGTTGGCATTTTTGAAGAGTCGGAGCAACTTAGATTGGTCCAATCATCCTACTTATAGACATCTATGTTGATTATTTCACACTCTTGCTCTGAACTTTAAGCATTTCTATCCTTGAAGCCTTTGATTTGTTGCGTTGAGAAAAAAGAAAGTTGATATTGACCATATGCTGCCAAGATGTTCTTACTTTCTATACTGCTCGTGAAAGTATTGACACAGCTCCTCCTTCCGCATGTTTATTGTTCATTTTATCTTCGGCTTCATTGAGATGCCTTATTCTTCTTCTCTTTGTGGTTTAGTGTTTGTTAACCTTCAGCATATCCCTTTTTGTCTCACCACGTTGTCTCTTGTTTGCATCAGTCATCAGGTTCTTGAAGTTGACCGGTGATGGGAAATAGGCCAGCAAAGCCGGAGAGAGATGAGGTGCTTTTGAAGATTGTGCCTCCTCTAGATCAAGCATACGTTCGATGGCTTGCTCGTGACCTCGAGAGAATTCATGGCTTCACTCCAAGAAACCCTCGTGCTGTAAGGCCACCCGATCATTACATAGAATACATGCGCTTACAGGGATGGTTGGATGTCAGCTTAGATGACCCCGACCTTGCTCGTCTACTTAAATAATGGAGTAAATCAACTGCAATACTCTTAAGAACATGTATAAACTTCAAATTGATGTTTAGTTTGCTGTACTGGTACAGTGAGATTCAGATGCTGAGCAGTGGTATGATTTATGAATGGAAATCTTGTCAAATATTTACCTGTATGCTTGAGCTATGTGACTTTATTAGTATGAGTTTGCAACTATTTCCCCCCAGAGGGTTGTGGTGTTCGAGTCATGGGAATAGACTAACCTTGTAGAGAACACTTCCCCCAAGGTTAGTCTATTCCCATGACTCGAACACCCAAGGAGGCCAACTATAACGGCACAAATGCGTATTAGTTGGCAACAACCTCTATATCTCCATAAGATAGACAAAGTCTAGATACACTTTACCCTCTCAAACCTCTTGTATGGGATTTCATCGGGTATGTTGCTATTATACAAAGTTATGATATATTTTTCAAGTGATGTGAATCTTGCTCCTCCTTTTAGTTTTGTTGAGTAGGTTTCAATGATTATTTTCATAATTGTTTAATCTAGTGTGACTTACTTCTGATTTAAAACTGACTAACAATTCAAACGATAACCTAACCTCTAATGGCTAATAATCAATAATGAATATCGTAATAATTCTCTAACAACATATCTACAAATCGATAAGCCGTATCGAACCGTATCCCTAATCCAATAGACCCTTAATATTGTATTTATAACCAAACAAATATTATTGATGACTATATATGATTATCGCTATGCAAGTAACTTTTTTTTAACCGATTAACTAAACATATTAAAATTTCTATCAATAAATAAATTTTTATGGAGCCCATAGAATTCAATTTGACATGTGAAAATAGAGGGTGCAAACTAGATCCAAACTTTCTTAACCATATGATTAAACTATAATTGCATATCATATTGCTAAAAAAAAAAACATAGTACTAAAGTACCATTTATTTAATTTGATTAATTAATTTTTATAATATAGTATATTTTTATTTACAAATAACTGCAAATTCCCTCCACCTATATATCCGAACCAAATTCCCTCTCTTTCTTCTTCTTCTTCTTCTTCCCTTTCTCTCTCTTCCCGCTATTTTCCTTTTCCCTTTTCCCAATTTCAGATCTCATCTTCTTCATCTTTTTCAACTCAATTCTCCTTTTTTTCCATCAATTCCCAATTTTTTGCCAAGCCCCATATGCCTAAAACTTCAAGAATCGAAAAGGGCTTTCAATTTCATCAATTTTACCTCTTGTTTTGTCACTGAAAACAAAAAAGATAAGACTTTTTTGGGAATTTTGGGAGTTTTTAGCAGGTGGGGTTGTTCAAGAACGAAGATTTTAGCAGATCATGAAACCCCAACAGCAGCAGCAGCAGCAACAATCTTTGAAGCGTCAGCTTCAGTTTTCGTCGATTAAACCGGTGTTTGGTGACTACCACCGGTTTTCCACAGAACCAGTTGATTGTTCCTCTCAAGAACCCCCTGGAATTGTTGTGAAGACTCCGGTGAGCTTTTTTTACTGTTATTTAGTGTCTTACTGATGTAATATATGTGTGTGGTGTAAATTGAACAGTGTTGTGTAAAAATTGCTGTTGGAGTTTGGGTATTAATGGTGAAATTGGATTTATTGATTGCTGGTTAAGATGTTTGACTGGAAAATTTGAGGTTTTGTGTTGTTTAAGTGAAGCTTTTGAGGTGGGTTTGACTTGAATTGTAGTTTTACTGTTAAGGCTCTTGTGAGCTCTCCAATTGTGTAATGCTATGCTGTGTATCTTTCTGTGACGTAGTTTGCTTTATTGTTGAATGACAGTGGTAGAAATGGATCAAGGAACTGGTTGTGTTAAATGTTGTTGAATTTTGGATATCGAGACTAGTGAGCTTTCTTTGTGATTCTTTAGTGCCTTACTGATGCAATATAGGTGTGTTTATGGGATAAATGAACAGTTTTATGTATAATCTGTTGTTGGCGTCTGGATATTAAATGGTGAAAGTTGCTTTATTGATCGTTGGTTAAGATTTTCGACTGGAAAAATTGAGGTTTTGTGCTGTTTAAGTGAAGTTTTGAGGTGGCTTTGACTGGAATTCTTGCTTTACAATTCAGGCTCTTGTAAGCTCTCCATTTTCCTTAATGCTATGCTGTATATCTTTCTGTGATGTAGTTTACTTTATTGTTGTGTGCCAGTGGTATAAAATGGATCAAGGAACTGGTTGTGCTAAATGTGCTGTTGAATTTTGGATGGTATAGTGGTCATAGTAGCTTTATTGAGCTCAACTTGTTTCTCCAATCGGAAAAGCATTTGAGAAATGTTTCAAAGGGACTATGCGTAAGTATCTGAGAAATGTTTCAGATGTAGCACACTATTTATTAGGTTTTATAGGACATATTCTTTTTGATACGAGTCTCTAGAACCTTGATCTAGTGGAAGATTTGGTAGTATTTAATCTACCACCAAACTTAAGGAAGACTAATTTATCGGGCATATTCTCTAATTTAATTTTTCTCTTTCCTTTTATTGGTTTTGGGGAATGTTTAAACCAATGAACTTATGGTCTCATTACATCCTTGCACTGAGCAGCTATTTGATGGTTGTTTCATCTGTTTTTTCCATAGCAATACATCCGTCTTCAGTTATCCAAGCTATGAACTGTTAGTATGACCATCAGTGTGACTAATTTTCACTTATTATTCAAAGTGTTGATAGTATGTGATTAATTTGCCATTGTTCATGCGAAATACTTGTTAATTTAAAATGAAACTTGCACTTAGCCTATGCTAATTTAAAGGAGATGCATGCAGTTGACAAGTTCACATTTATATATCAATTTCATTTTCAGACACAATTTAGGTTAAATCTTTAAAATAATTTGCTGACAGAACTTGGGGTACTCAATTGTCTTTTTCAGCCACTGAAGCGGAAGAGTGCAGCAGCAAATTATGGACAGGGGGTTGGTGACCGGAATCCAGCTTCTGGATATGCTAATGTCAACAGTCCCATACAGACACCAGTATCTGGAAAAAATGCACAGAAAGTTCCTAGGACTTCAAAGGCCAGATCTGCTTCTCAAGCTGTTACCTCCAATGTTGGTGAGGATTTTTGAGAAAAATGTTTCATTCAAAATGTTAGTGTACTTCATGTACTTTCAATGGAGCATTCAGTATAGCAATCTTACTTCTGCAAGTCAGTAAATTGTAGATTATCTGCTGCTGCTTCTTTTCATACCCTTCTCTCTCTCAATCCTTATCTTTGTTGTTCACTTTTTCTGAGACAAACCTTATTTATATAAGCAGAGAATTACTAGTTCTAACTTTTGCTTATTGAATTTACAGGATCCCCTTCAGGCAATAATGTTACTCCTGTTGGTCCTTGTCGATATGATAGCTCCCTGGGTAAATTAAAACTTTGATGACATAATTGTTGATTTGTCCTTCAATCTATTATTTCTCTAATGCCTGAGTTGTTTTAAAGTGTTACATATTTGTGGTTTATTGGATACTTCTCTGGCAATTACCTGTTAAATGGAAGAGCTATATACTAAACTAGTACTTATAACAGCATCTCTTGATTTCCATTCAGGTCTTCTAACGAAGAAGTTCATCAATCTAATCAAACATGCAGAAGACGGTATGCTTGATCTAAATAAAGCTGCTGATACATTAGAGGTGAAGTTCAATTTATTCAAACAATGCAGAAGACAGTATTCTGAATCTTGATGCTACTATGCCTGATGAGGTCTTACCAGTTTAGGTGGTTATTTCTTATAACAGGTGCAGAAAAGGCGTATATATGACATCACAAATGTCCTGGAAGGCATTGGGCTGATAGAAAAGAAACTCAAGAACAGGATCCAGTGGAAGTATGGGCGGAGATACTCATCCAATTTGAATAAATTGCTCAGTTGTTTATTATCAATATTTATAATGCGATTCGGGATAATTCAGAGAAAACATAAGTTAAAATATGATTTTAAACATTATTATGTAGGGGTCAAGGTGTCTCGAAACCAGGAGAAGCTGACGAGAGTGTTGCAAGTTTACAGGTAAGGACCATTACTCCAATGCCTGTTGTATTTCTTAATGTTTTTTAGTTTACACATTTGTCCTCTAAAAGTGAAGTAACTTGAGCAAAAGGGGCTCGGACTGATGAAAAGATCCTCTATTTTTTCACAAAACAACAGTTTTAAGCATTCCAATGCTCTTAATTTTAATCTGTGCCTCCTCTGCTGAAGGCTGCTAACTTGCATTTACCTGCTAGTAACATTTTTAATGGTATTCTCTTATCGGGAGTTTGCACTCTTGCAGGCAGAAGTGGAAAAGTTGACGGTTGAAGAGCATAGATTAGATGACCAGATAAGGTATGTTATTTGCTGTAGGGTTCATCTTTTTATTCACCATAGGAGGACTCACTGGAATAGTTCTGGCTAATTCTGGGCTAGACATTGCTCTACATTAACTTGTAATACAAAAATCCAACAGTGCTTTGCTTCATCTCTGACCTTACATTGTGTTATTGTTCGCTTCTTTCAGAGAAATGCAGGAAAGTTTAAGGGACCTGAGTGAAGATGAAAATAATCAAAGGTAGCATCTTTGGCTTAAATATGATTAACATTCTGCTCATGCGATTTTTGATGGATTTAGCTGCTCACCATTTTCTTCTTCATTCTTAAATACTGATATCCTGAAAATTTCTTTTCAAAGATGGCTTTTCGTCACTGAAGATGATATCAAGAGCTTACCTTGTTTCCAGGTAATATTTTAACCCTCCTTCCAATTTTTCCATTCCCTTTCTTTCTAAATGCAACCTTCAATAATTGACCGCTTAGTCTAAAAATTGATTGGTTCGATCAGAATGAAACATTGATAGCAATTAAAGCTCCACATGGTACCACTTTAGAAGTTCCAGACCCTGACGAGGTAACCTATATCTCCTTATTACAGAAAAAATATTGTTCCGTTTCTTGCCCTTTCACTTCCACACATCTTAGCATGTCCTTCTTGCCTCTATTAGGCTGTTGATTATCCACAAAGGAGATACAGAATAGTGTTACGGAGCACGATGGGCCCCATTGATGTTTACCTAGTCAGGTATTTGCTGCTTCTTAGCACAATATGAATCCAGAATGGAGAGAAGGGGAGGGATGTTTCTAATCTTTTTACATTAT